CATGAAATTACATCTCTTTATATTTAATTATTTCTTAGGCATCTTGATTAAATCAGTAGCTCCCATAACTGTGTCCACTTTCTAAAAATATTTTATTTAATACTTTAAAAAAACTAAATTTCATATCATCGTTTTGAAAGTTGGTCTTGAGCTTTTTTCTCTGTGTAACTTGCAGGTTAACATCGTATAATAGAGAATATAGAAGTACAAGTTCTCACAAATTCATCATGAATCTAAAATTGTTTTTTAGTGTATTTTTTAAATTTTGACAAAATATCACTCTTTTATACTAAACTTAGAAGAAAAGCTCAAAGAATATTTTTGAGAATAATCTGTCCACCTGATACATTACCTTAAAATATTTTAGTGTGTATTTCCTACAAACAAGACCATTATCTTATATAATTGCCATGTATCACCAAAACCATGAATTAACTTTTATACTCTACTACCATTAAATCCTCAGATTACAATCAAGTTTCTTCAATTGTCGCAATAATGCCTTATATACACAAAAAAAAAAAAGAAAGAAAAAATAATTCAGTACACAATCACATGTTACATTAAATGGTCACAAATCTTTATATTCAGTCTGGAACATTTACTCAGTCTTTCCTTGCCTTTCATAAACTTAACATTGTTAAGATCATAGGCTAATTATTTTGTACAATGTATTCCAATTTGGATTTGATTATATTTGAGTCATGGATGTTTGACAGTAATATCACAGAAGTGGTGCTGTATTATTCTCATTGCATCTGATCTAGAGGCACCCAGTTTCAATCTGTCCTTTTACTCATGTTTATTTTGATTATTTGATTAAGGCAATGTAAGTCAAGCTTTTCCACTGTTAAGTTATGCTATCCCCCTTTTGATGAACACATCTTCTGTGAGGAAGTAGTTTGAAATGATACATATCCTATTCCTCATCGACCTTGCAATCTACTCATTGTTTTCTATTTATATTGACTTATCATTCGGTATCATTTTATTCAATGGATTTTCATTATTATTGTTTAAGTTGATGACCAAATTATTCTTTATTTGGTCAGTGGGACCCCATTCAAGCAGACTTCTGGGGCTTTTCCCATCATTTTTTGAACTTTCTTTGACATACAAATGGTTCGAATGCATTTTGTACTGTCTGCTAAACTCTGATGTAAAATCCAGGATGCTTTTCATACACTGTTCTATTTGTAAATGATTCATAAAAGTAATAAAAACGCTTTCCATTGAGAAACCAAGCCAACCTCCAGAGTGGATTCACACCTTTGATATAATTCATTTTCATTTTATAAAGTGTGGTATGTAAATTTGAATGAGGCACCACAATTGTCTTCCTGGAATTAACAGTGGATAACACACACACACACACACACACACACACACATACACATATACACACACAAACAGAAAACCAACAAAAATGACTAAAAAGAACCTCTCATTGGTTTAAATCAAGTCAAATTCCAAATGCCAAATGATTTATGAAAACTAAGTTTCAGGACAATGGATAAAATATTCAAGCTATGAATACCTATTTAATTGTTTTAAAAATTGTTTATACTGATACCAGAATCTGTATGTGAAGTTTGTAGAAAGGATTATTTTCACATTAGAAGGCACTGATAATTCAGGGTAACTAGTTGACGTGATACCATTGTCACAGAAGAGTTAGAAAACTTTGTGGACAAATTTGGAAAAATGTATAATGAAGGTATAAAATTTTGCAAACATCTTAGTTTACTCTGTAATTATCAGACCTAAGTGGCCACTAAGCCTTTCATTTATATATACTTGCTGTGTCTGAGCAAAATTCTCTTGAATTTAATCTGAAATACATCCAATATGCTAATCTCTAAGAAGAACCCATTTAACTGAACGGTGAGTAAATCCATGAGAACTACAGTCTGAGGTAGCCTACAAATAGGAAGCCCTGACCAGTGCAACAAGAATCTCCAGCCAGGGTATACATATGTATATAACGGAACAGAAGTAACCATAATATCCTTGTCAGACTTTATGAGACAGTCTAGATATAAATAGCACAGGCAGCAGCCAAATCCAGCCTTTCCAGTCCTCTCTGCTCTCTGTAGCTGTGGCTAAAATCTGTGCCAGTGGCCACTGGGATTTGTAACACCCTTTTGCCAGCAACAGAGGCCAGACAGTCATTAAATTGGATATAAACAAGACAGGAATTAAGAATGGGGAATGGGAGGTCTGGACCTCCTACGAAACCGTCTGGAGAAAACCCAGATTTCCCAGATGTAATCTTTAGGCCTTGGAGTTCAAATCACCAGCTGTGCCCTGAAGTAAAAGGGGGTAAGCACATTTGTTGTGAGGGTGACTAGCTGTGGTGGAAAAAAAAAACTCTCACCAGTGAACCATTAGAACACATATATGTACATTTGAACTTCCGCAGACTCACTCTTACTGTACATATATTTATGCATGTATCTTTCACTCTCATTTCACCAGCATACCTGTATAGCCATAAGGTTGACACTCAGATTAATTTTAAAAAGCAGTATATTCTTATTAAATAATTAGATGAATTTCAGTTTTATGCAAGGAAACTAAGGAAATTTACCTAAAAATGACAATAGTTCCCATAAAGTTTTTAAATTACTACCAAAGTAAGTCCTACTGCATTTAATGGAAACATAATTCCTTCAGGGCATATCTCTTCAATGAAAGCCTATGATTTCACCTCTCTGGAGTTCACCCAGCACAAGGAGAGTTGCTTCACATAATAGTGACCTAAAACAGATTCCAAATCCAACTTAAGAGAAGATGTCAGTGCTATTTCATTATTATTGTACTAAATGCACAGGCAGAATTACCATAAAGTTAATAAAGTTGAAGGTCAAAGACCCTCAAATGCATGGACACCTCTCACAACGCTAAGAAGACCTCAGCAATTTCATATTAATTATTTCATATTATATATTTTAAACAAGTCCCCCTAGGTGGACAAATTTTAAATACCCAAAGAATGTATAAGGTAAAATAGTATATTTTCTCCTAGTAAAGTTATTTCTAGGCAGGGTATACGATTGTTCATTCATTCATTCATTCATTCAAATGATGTCTATTAAACATTGACCTTGTATGTATTAGGTACTAGCTAAAATTTGTGGAAAAAAGAGGTCACTGAATTGTCTCTTAAAAAGTTTATATTCTAATAGTAAAGAGAGACAGAAATATAAAAATGTATAGAGTAGGAAGCTAAATTTATTATATATGATATTCTCTGTACCCAGCACACAAGTTTGCAGGAAAGTAGAATAAGAGTTTGGTGTACAAAAATGCAGTAAGAAATTGGAACATGCATTGAGCTTTTGAGTGTGCTTTGATTTTATTTGTGTTGTTGTTAAGGTATCTTTTTTTAGATAGTGCTGCCTAAATTTACTAGAGGTCTTTGGGGATGTAGCATAATGGGTATTAAAGACAGGAAACACTTGGTAAACTAACATAATTTAAACAAAAAAGGTATTATTTCTATTTCAACGCCACACTGTGTTTTGAAAGCCTAATGACCCTTCTTAATCAGGCTGTGGGAAGTCATAAAATGCCACCTAAATTTAGCTATTACTTCAAAGTTAGGGAGGATGTGTTTTTTGTCTTCATTAAGTAGCTAGCCGCTTCTCTGATAGTCTGAAATCTCAGTTTACTCTAGTACATACAGTTATCTTGCTAATTTCTATTTTGTTCCTAAATGGAAGCTGAAAACAGAGCAATCTATGTTGGGCTTTTTAAAATTTTTGCAGCTTAATTTTACTAATATTCTGTTAACAATTTCATCAATATGTCAGATTCAGATTTAATTCAAACATCATGAGAATTTTAACTCTCTTCTAAAATAAATTGTGTGTTACCTTAATAGCATTTAGTCTTCTGACATTAAGAAAAAATTTAAATTAAAATCAAATATAGTAAAAGTTAACAATTCTTTAAACAATATACATAATCAAATCTGTTTTGAAAATACACTATTTACTACTGTCTCAGTTATTCATGGAAAATCGCCTTTGTGGACCTCAGCTATATGAACAGTACATTTCTCTCACTCCTAACAGGCATATTCCAGAGCAGAAGTATACCTTTGGCTAGTCATTTATTTACAAATCATAAAATCAGTCAGGTAATAGGCTGGGTTCTGTATTCACCATGCACATGAAGGCCAGTGGAGACAGATGTGTAAACACACAAAATATAACTCATCAAACAAAATGCCATGATATACTTAAGAAAAAAATAAGATCATAACACACTAAGGATTGACCCAATTTTTCTGCCATAGATTGTGAGGTGATTCTCCAAGAAGCAGCACCAATTTCAGTCTTTAAAGAAAAATAGCTGGAGCTTTCAGGTAAAGAAGGAGGTAGGTTTTTCAGGCAGAGAAACAGCTAAAAAAAACTGCCATGAAGCCATGACAAAGCCATGGCAGAGAATGGAAAAGATTCTACAGCTGGATTTGATGAACAGATCAAACAGGTGCTAAAGAAGTCGGAAGGGTAGACCGCATCAGACGAAGAAGGGCATGGCTCAATCCTATGGATAACAGGAAGCCAATGGAGCCCTGAAGCCAGGAAATGACATTGACAGGTTTATTTTCTGGGCAGGCAACTCTTTGGTGATATGGACAATGAAATATATGTGATGAAGGGTGGAGAAATGAGTGGCCAGATGAGAGGTATTCGAAGCAGGCCTTATAAGAGATGAAGTGGGTCTGAACTCAAGTTCAGTGGAAATAAGAAGGAAGAAAAACCAGAAATTTAAGACATTGCTGAGGTAGATTCTCTGGCATTTTGTGACAAACTAACATGACAGCCCTGGAAGGAATCATTTAGATTCTACCTAGTTACCTGAAATACTTTGGATTCTCTTAACTAAAACATAGAATGCAATAAGAACACTAGATAGAAACAAAATCTCAGTTTTGAACATACTGAGTTTCCTTGAAACATACCAAGTGAGATAGAAATGTATTTCCATACTGATAAACTGATCGATTGATTTCTTGCTTTCTCGCGATTCTGTTTCTTTTCTTTTCCTAATGGTTAACTCTGCCAGGAATGGAAGGAAGCAGGGAAAAAAAAGATTAATTGAATGGAGAGGAGACGTTAAAATGTACATAGCCTTCAAAAAAATAATTCTTTAAAATTTTTTTCTACACATACTCCATGTCTACACAGGCAAATGTAAAAAATGTTCATTGTCTTAGTAGTACTGCTATAGTTTAGTATTTGTCCCCCCAAACTTTATGTTCGAATTTAATCCCCAATGTTGGAGGTTGGGCCTACTGGGATGTTTTGGGGTTATGGGGGTAGATCCCTCCTGAGTTGATCAATCCTCTCCCTGGGTGGCAGAGGTGGGGTGGAAAGTGAGTGAGTTCTTTCTCTATTAGTTCCCACAAGAGCTGTTTGTTTAAAAAAAAAAAAAAATAGCCAGACACCTCCTTTGCCTCTCTCTTCCTTCCTTTCTCGCCCTATGATTCCTGCACACACGAGCTCTCCTTCACCTTCTGCCAATCTTCAACCTTTTAGGCAGCAGAACTGTGAGCTAAATTTCTTTCTAAATTACCCTGCCTCAAGTATTCATTCACAGTAGTATCAAATGGACTAAGATAGGTACAGATCATTGAGAAACATCATAAATGCTCATCCACGGAAGACTGTTTAAATCAATTATTATGCAGCCAAATTATAAAATACTTTTGAGATATTAATAAAATTTGGTGTGTTGATGTGAAAAAAAAATAAAAGTGAAATATAAATAGTAAAAATCAGTGTCATTAGTATGTTCCTATTTCAAATAAAAATCTGTGTATTAGATTCTTAGGGCTGCTGTAAGAAACTACCACAAACTTGGTGGGATAAAACAATAGAAATTTGTACTCTCATAGCTCTGTAAACCATAATTTTGAAGTAAAAGTGTCAGCAGAGCTGTCTGTTCTCTCTCCAAGGGCTCTGGGGAAGAATCCGTGCCATGCCTCTTTTACCTTCTGGAATATGCCAGCTTCCTTGGTTTGTGGTCAAGTCATTCTAATCTCTGCTTCCATCTTCACCTCTCTTTCCTTTCTGTGTCTGTCTTTTCCTCCTCTGTATGTGGGTTATAAAGACACTTGTCACTGGATTTAAGGCTCAACCGACAATGCAGGATAATCTCAAAATCCTTGATATAATTACATCTGCAAAATCCCTTTGACCAAATATGAGAACACTCATAGTTTCAGGGGATTAGGATATGGAGATATCCTTCCTTGGGTCCATCATTCAACCCACTGAAGGCAGCTTCTTGTATTTGTATCAACATGGACATTATCTGGAAAAAAATGCAAGAAATTTTTGAGGATTTGTTTTGTTTTGTTTTGTTTCCTCCACAGCAAGGGAAGACTGGTAAGTCTTGCATGAGAAAGAAATTTAATTTTCTGTGTATACATTCATTTATTGTTTGAATTTTCTCTTTTAGCATTGATTATACCTTGCATTTGCAACTAAATAAAATGCAATTTAACACTTAATATAACTGCAAAATTTTTTGACTTGAAATTAATTCATTTAATAAAACAACTTGAAGATTTACTTTTATTAAAAGATGAAAGATTTATTTGATCTGAAGAGAAACCAGAGTATGAAGATTTACTTATAAAAACCCCTTACAGGCTGGGCGTGGTGACTCACGCCTGTAATCCTAGCACTCTGGGAGGCCGAGACGGGAGGGTCGCTCGAGGTCAGGAGTTTGAGACCAGCCTGAGCAAGAGTGAGACTCCATCTCTACTAAAAATAGAAAGAAATTAGCCAGACAACTAAAAACATATAGAAAAAATTAGCTGGGCATGGTGGCACATGTCTGTAGTCCCAGCTACCTCTCAAGGGTTAGAACAGCAGTTCCCAACATTTTTGGCACCAGGGACTAGTTTCATGGAAGACAATTTTTTCACAAACCCAGTTGTGGGGAGATGGGACAGAGCTCTGTGGTACTCTGTGGTCCCTAATAGGCCGCAGACCAGTACCGGTCCGTGGCCCTGGGGTTGGGGACCACAGGGTTAGGAATTCACCACTGCAGAACTGCCACAATGTGGAAATACATGAGTTTCTGTTGAGTAACAGAAAGTGCTTCTAGTGTCCTCTAAGGTAATGAAAGTGACTCTTGAAATGACTTTGGTGGAAATGACTAGTTCTTGAAAATATATAACATTTGGGAACTCCCTGAAATAATTAGTGAGTTTAAAAATTATTGGTAATTTTTTCTTCAAATCAACAAAATGATTATACCAATGAAATAATGTGTGAACTACAACAGCAAAAAAAAAGAAGAAGAAGAAGAGGAGGAGGAGGAGGAAGAAGAAAAAGAAGAAATGCTGTGTTATAGGAAGAATCTGCAATTTTTATTTGACTCTAAGTGAATAAATTAGCAGCTTTCATTTTCACAGAAAGCTGTTTAGTTTTTCCCAGTTCTGAGTATATCTACTAATAGAAATTGATTATTAAAGAACAAAATTAACTGAGCAGATTATGATTATGATACTGAAGTGCTTGTTGTAGGCACATGTACTTATGCATTAGCCTAGTTCCCCTTGAAGCCTTCTGCCTACCCTTCTTCCCTCTATTATCAGTGTTGTTCACATCCTCATTCAATTTTCACCAGCTGCTCTGTGCATGTGTAACCATTTCATATGTCAGAGGTAAGGCTTAATCTTTTAAACTCAAGGAATAACTATTATTACAAGTAGCTCTCTTTTTCCAATGAGAAGCTTTTGGGGTTAGTCTGGCTTCCAACTCCCATGTTAATGAGAACAACATGGTGTTTGTTGGTGCTGAATTTCTCTCAGCGACAGAGACTTTGGATCCCATTTCTTCCCTCTTCCCTCACATCCTCTACTATGGAACACCCTTCTACTATGGAACTCTTTCCATATTAACTTGAGGACGTGGAAGAAAAGGACTATGTATGACATTGAAACTACTTCTAAGGTGACCTAATTTTTCATCCCACATGAGCTGGAAAATCTGCCTTCCAAAAAGTAAACTATGCCTTTCAAGAAACACTGATTCAATTTCCTAAAGCTTATTTAGTTTTCTAAGGATTTTGTAATTATTATGCATTATTAAGATATTAGCTGAGTTTTTGGAAATCTTGAAGATTGTTTCCTCATCAATAATGCAAACACATTTAAGATTGTTTCAAGACCCTTTATATATACCCATATGTAAGTATATACTCAACTCTACATACATAGTTGAAAATACAGCAAACTGAGGGACCAGATAAGTGCTACAGATCATGATCATTTCTTAATGAAAAAAAGTCTAATTTCAGGGGAAATGCTTTTTGTTCAAGGTGTAAACAGTGGTGATTACTTCCAGAGATCCATAATTAGATGATTAAATATTTTGAGTTCTTTCCATGCATTATATTATCTATATTATCAAGTTCTTGATAGATCTTTCATGTCAGCTCCACTGAGAGACCACTTTTAGTTGGCTGTGAATTCTCTGAAATCTGTCATGTATATGAGATCTACAATTGTGAGCCTATCATTAGTGAAAAGGATAGCAAGGAGAAATAAAAACATTTTTATGCCTATGAGTAGGATGTGCCAAAGTCATCCAACTGAAAAATTGGATATTTTTTCAACCTACTCATGGCCCCTCCAAAACCCAACAACAGGAATCTGATATAAACCTCCCATATTTTCAGAACTGTTATCTCTATGAACCACTTTATTGCTAGAATCATATATTTCATTCCTCAGGTATACTGAAATGGTCAAAAGTTTGAGAACCATCAATCAAATCAGGAAAGATTATTAAACTAGCTGTTTAACAATTAGTAAATAAAACACTCAGATTAGTATTTTTTTTCTGTATTTTCAACACATTTTCCTGTGATCTAGAGAAATCTTTTTCAAACTTTATATTCACCTTAAACTGTGTATATGGATATTTTTGAAAACTTTTTAAATTAATATCTCAACAGAGTATGCCATAATCACATTATGGAATGATTTTATTTGTTCAAAACCAGTCTTCCCAATAGACTATAAATTTTAGGAGTCTAGGGACTGTGTATGTATTGCAAGCACAGTGATTGGTATGTTGTACACACTCAATGAAAATTTTAAATGAAAGATGTTTATTGGGTGAAAATGAGACCTTTGCAATTTGTATTAAATTTTATTTATATTACAAGATAATAACATTATGCAGAAATTCTGCTAACTTCACCAGGAAGACAATTTAACCTAATTATATGTCTTAAAACACACACACACACACACACACTAGCCAATAGCTATCAAATGAAAATAGTATGGAGATAAGACCCAAAGATCTCATAACATATGAATAATTAAAATGATAATGAATAAAATACATATAAAAGATCTTAAAATATATATTAAGCCAATAATCTTGTATGATAAAAAGCCTATTCTCCAGAAGTACTTATTACTAAATTGCAGAAACATATTATTTGCCTCAAATTAAAGTTGTTGCTTTTATAGAAAAGTAAACATGAAAGCCATAATACTTACCTAGTAGAGTTAATCTGTCAATACTTTAAAATAGTCAAAGGTCACTCCTTACTTAAAAGTATCAGATTATATGACAGTTATATAAAACATTATCATCAAGTTTGTTACCACAAATTATTTTTTAAAGAAGACAACCAGAAACCTGCTGCTGAGACAAGGAGGAACTGTCTCTGTCATCAGAGCCGAAGTAAACAAGCAATACAAAATTACACTTGTGTAAACAAGCTCAAAATTAATGGCTCACATACTGTTTTTCTTTCACTGGCCCCTTTGGTAGGTCAAATGACCCCTTAGACCACCTACTCTCAATACCACCACACATGGACACAGAGTTCTTAGGGTTTTCCAAACTTTGGGTTCCCCCTCTGCCCCCTTCAAAAAAACCCTGATTTTTATCACTTAAAGTTATAGGAAAATGAAGAAGGGGAAATAATTAATGGGAAGAAGGAAAAAACAAAATCCAGCACACTCACATATGTTGTTCGGAAAGGTGATAATCATATAACTAATTCATGTAATGCTTCAAATTTAACTCAACTGGGTGGTAGGAGATTATAGAAAGAAACACTAGTACTAATTATATTGTTGCCCCAAATGCCATTTAATTTCTCGTTGACTGTAAATCCCTGCACCAAATAAAATGCAACAACAGCAGTTACTATCTACGGTTTGCAATTTCTCAGCAATTTAGCACTTTAAACAAGAGTACAGTTAAAAGTAATTCTATGCTTTCAACCCTACCACGTTCTTCATCTTTAGCAATGTTTTCTGAAAGCCTTCCTGAATCTTTGAGCTGAAAATGGTTGTCTTTTTAATTACCCGCTTTGTTCCTTAGATTCATTTTTCCCCTCTAAAATCCATCCTTTCCTTATTTTACAAAATAGAATTACCTTAAGCTTTAATTTGTACCTTTAACATTCAAGTTTAAGCACAAAATTGAACAATTTTACTTAAAGAATGTGTATTCAAAAGTTAAAAAAGTCCATGCAATAATACACTGTAATTGATTTAATAATTAGAAACGATTATATTTCATTATTTTATGAACATTTTTTCAAGCTTACTGCATTAGTAGTAGTCATGATATAGAGTTTTGCTTAGAACCCAAGGATCTGTCCTCCGTGAGCGGGTATGTTAAAATGCCCTTTCTTTTATCGCTATTAGGTAATTTTACTAAGCAGGCTTTTTTATTAATGTTTCAAAAGTGCATTTGCTCCTTAAAGTTAGAGAATCAGCAGCAATTTTGTTTATTTTGCAAAGTTCTGTGCGTACTTTAAAGGGTTTCCTTCAAAGGCAGATTTAAAAAAAAAAAAAAAGGTGATAATGAGTGCCTCCACATGGAAAGAAGTATCAAAAGAAAAAAAAAATATTGTAAAATAGAAATATCTCTAGACCAAGAGATGTTTCCTGTTTCCAGTCTTAGATGGGTTACAATTTTACAGCTCATTTTCCCAAAACATCTTCTATGTGATACTATTCCAGGTTATATGTTGCAAAAGAAAAAACAAAACAAAAAAACTCAGATTCTCTACACTACAAAAGTCTAATGGTTTGCAGTTCTTGTCCTTTCAGTACCTTTCCAAATAATAAACAACTTTTTTTTTTATCACAAGAAGAATGTGGCTCTTTGAAGAGTCCCAAAAGAGAAGAGTTTTAAAATATGACACATGATAAATAAAATACAAGAGAATGTGCTAAAAGAAAATCACTCCAAACCTGCAATTTAGGGTATCACAGGAGTATATTCTCCTTGTAGAGGAATCTGACAAGCATTGCCTCAAAGACATAACTAGGCAGAAAAAATGGATGTTACACAAGGAAAAATGAAGTCAACTGGAAGCAGAACAGAGAAAGTGAAGCAAAGCAAGTTGATCATTAAGAAAGGAAAAAGAAACATTAAGATAAATACATATAATATTAAAAAACAAAGTAAAAAAATTTTTGAATAGCAATCCAAATGTTTGAAATCAACTTGTCATAACATTCAATATTTCATTTCATGAAAGAAAAACATCAACAAGTATATAAAGGAATGGATGATTCAAAATATTTTGAAATTATCAGTTTTATTCCATTATAAAGGAATGCCAGAAACTAGTTCAATGAGGGAAAGGGACAGAATTGGTCTTTGAGTCTTCTATACATATTCTTTACTAAATATATAAATTATTATATTTATAAAAATTTATTTTAATAGATATATAAATGTTAATTCTCCATGTTAGCTACATGAGTTAATATGGGGATATGTAAATATAAGTAAATTACATTAAAAATAATGCATTTACTTAATTATGTATTCCAAAAGGAGATTAATATAATAATGGTGGAGGTAGGGTGTGCTTACTATGAGAATAATTTTAAATTAAATCATCTGTGCAAGCTGTACTTAATTAAATATTATGACTTTTCCTTTATTAGTATAGCATATGTACATAAAAGAAAATCAAAGTATATCAGCTACATTTTAAAATCACTACCCCAAAAAATACCTTATGAAAACATAGCCTTTTCTTACCTCTTATCTATACAGTTTATCATTGTTCTTATTTTTGGCTTTTCTGTTCAAAGGTTGTTTGTTTTCATCTGCTTATAATCCTATATAACCAGTCTTTTTGTTTTCATTGAAACTTGTATCGTAAACATTTTCCACACTGGTATGAATGAACACAGAAAACACTGTTAGGGACAATATAATCATATCATGTGAATATAGCATAGTATGCTTTTATTATTAAATATGTTCTTGCTCTGTGTGTTTACTTAAGATTTTAATGTGGTATAAGACTGTGGGACAAATGCACACTGTAATAACACACTGAATAATGGTACTACATAAACAGAAATAGCCTTTTATGTGAGATATGTATATATATTAGCATAATGATCAGTAGATAGTATATAGTAAATAGATAAGTAAAAATATATTTTATATTAAAGTTATGAAAAATAGTGTTTTAAGAGAATATTTAAAAGCATAAAAGTGTAAATAACATCACTGTCAATGTCTGATTTCATTGTCTACGTGTGCTGGTAAGAATGAGATGTGGATCATGTAGACTTTTACAAACCATCTTAATGCAGTGGTTTATACTGAGTGAAATAAGAAGCTTCCACAAGGTTTTGAACAGAGGATTGCCATGGATTAACACACGTTATAAGGATCCCCCGGGACAGTATAAGAAACAGTAAGAAAGGAAGTAGGTAAATCTGTTGTGTTACTAATTGCAGGAACCTAGGTGACAAACCATGGTGGCTTGAATCAGGATAATAGTAATACAGGGGTGAGAAGTGGTCATTTAAAGGAAAAAAAGCAGTGGGAAAGCCAATCACTTTTGTTGATAGATTTGGAATAGGATGTGGGAGAATGAGAGAGGTCAGGAAAGACTCTAGGGTTTGAGGGAATAGAAAGAAAGAGACACCACCTATTGAGATGAAGACCAGGTGAGAAGCAGAATTATCCAGGGAGGGTGGGACTTGGTGAGGTGTGGTGGTAAGGTCAGCAGTTGAATTAAAAAAATAATCTATTAGACATCCTAGGGAAAATTTGAAGTAAGTGTTTGGATACATGCATCTAAAACTCAGGGAAGATGGGTAAACTGAAAATATAAATGTAAAAGTCACTGGAATATAAATGGGTTTTGAAACTCTGAGATCATCAAAGAAGTGAGAATAGATAGCAAAGACTTCCAAAAACCATGCTATGGGACACTCAGAAAAACAAGGCTAGTGTAGGGGGTGGGGAACCTAGGTTTCAGAGAAGGTCTAGAAAATTCAGGAGAGTATAATGCCCTCCAAGCCAAGCAAAGAGAATAAAGAGAATATGTTTAAAAGAGAATATAGTGTGATCAATTTACTCAAATACTAGAGATGGATCAAAGTAAATTAGAAACTAAGAACTAAGTTAAATGTAGCAACATAAAAGCCATTTAAAATGTTGTTACTTTTCCATTGTAGAGTTAATACATGCCTGAGTAAGACAAGTAGAAGCTATTAGAAAAAATTTAAAAGAAAAAAAAAAAAAAAAAAAAAACATCTTTTGATGACTCTGCCGCGAAAAGAAAGTGCTGTTACTCTTTCTTATAAGAGAGAATGGGACAAGCATATAGACAACGCTTTGCAGGAATATTACTAAAAGGGAAAAGAGAAATGGCACAGAAGTTTGCGGTCAAAGTGTAAAGAGTTTTTAGTTTGTTTCTTTTAAGACTGTCAGAACAATAACATGTGTGTGTGCAGATGAGAATGATTACTTGGAGGGAAAGTTGATGATGTAGGAGGGAAAGTAGAGAACTGAGGGAGCTACACTGGAAGAGATCAGAGTAGATAGGATCTGGTACCCACTGGAGAGGGTAGGAGCACGGAGAATTAATTCACTTCTAAATGAGCAAAAAAGGGCAGAGAACACGGGTGCAGATGCTGGCAGAAGAGTAGATGTGTTGATACTAGCCTGTCAGAGTTCGCTTCTGGCTAGAAGTTCATTCCTGGTTGCTTGCATTTTCTCACTAGAATGTGCAGCAAGATCATCAGATAAAAGTGAAGATAGGAAAATATTTGTTTTGGGTTTGAGGTTCGTGGCCATAATTCAAAGATACTACAATCCACCAGTTTCAGTGATTTTATTCAGCTACATTCTGTTACTCATATTATGTCTTTTTTTCCACAAAGTTCATTAAAATTCTTTACAACTTTTTTCTTCCAAAAGTAAGTTTTTTGTTTTGTTTTGTTTTTGTTTTCTTTGTTTTTTTGTTATTTATTTAGGTCATCTTTAATTTCTTTTTTTTTTATTTCAGCATATTATGGGGGTACAGATTTTAAGGTTTCAATAAATGCCCTTTCCCCCCCCTCCCCAAAGTCTGTCTCCAGCATGACCATCCCCAGATGGTGCACATCTCACTCATTATATATGTATATACCGCCCCCTCCCCCTGCCCAATACCCTATTACTGCAGTACCTAGGTGACCACTTAGGTGCTGTTCAGTTAATACCAATTTGCTGGTGAGTATATGTGGTGCTTGTTTTTCCATTCTTGAGAAACTTCACTTAATAGTACGGGTTCCAGCTCTAACCAGGAAAATATAAGATGTGTTATATCACCATTGTTTCTTAGAGCTGAATAGTACTCCATGGTATACATATACCACATTTTATTAATCCATTCTTGGATTGATGGGCACTTGGGCTGTTTCCACAGCCTTGCAATTGAATTCTTGCTATAACATTCGAGTGCAGGTGTCTTTTTTGTAGAGTGTCATTGGATCTTTTGGGTAGATGCCCAGTAATGGATTGCTGGATCAAATGGTAGATCCACTTGTATCGCTTAAGGTATCTCCATATTGCTTTCCACAGAGGTGAACTAATTTGCAGTCCCACAAGCAGTGTAGGAGTATAGAATTTTTTATTTCCATCTTTATTTCTTCATTTATGAAGAATCATTTAGTAGAGGTTGTTTAATTTCACGTTTTTGTGTAGAAAGTGTGGTTTCTGTTAGGGTTGATTTCTACTTTTATTCCACTGTCATCTGAGAAGGTACATGGTATGATTTCTATTTTTTTAATTTCTTGAGTATATTTGTGTCTAGGATATGGTCAATCTTAGAGAATGTCCCGTGAGCTGATGAGAAGAACTATATTCAGTGGATTGTGGGTAGAATGTTCTGTATTGTCAGTCAGACCAGTTGTTCCAAGGTTTTGTTTAAGTCCATTATTTCTTTATTAATTTTCTGTTTGGAGGATCTGTCTCGTACCGTCAGTGGGGTGTTGAAATCTCCGGTGATTATGGAGTTGCTATTAATCCATTTGCTTAGCTCCAGTAAGGTTTACTTTATGAAACTGGGTGCACCTAAGTTGGGTGCATATATATTAAAATTGTTACTCTCTTCTTGTTGAAGTGTGCCCTTCACCATTATATAATGACCCTCTTTGTCTTTCACTACTTTTGTTGGTTTAAAAACTAAATCGTCTGAAATTGAACTGCCACACCAGCTTCTTTTGGCTTCCACTTGCCTGGAATACTGATCTCCACCCTTTTACTTTACTTATATGCATCCTTGCAGGTTAGATGTGTTTCCTGAAGACAGCATATACTTGGCCTGTATTTTCTTATCCATTCAGCCAGCCTATGTCTCTTGAGTGGAGAGTTTAAGCCATTCACATTATTGAGAGAACTAATAGGTAAGGTAGATTACTGTTCATTCTGTTGGGTTGGATGTTGTTGCTTTGATTTCTCTCTTGAGCCATTGTATTATTGGCTTTAATCTTTGGGTTTTGGTTGTTTTTATATTTGTGAGTTTTTATTATGGTGTTCCATGCGTAACACTGTTTTGAGTAGTTCTTGTAGGGCTGGTCTTGCCTCCCCAGACTGTGATGACGGCGGGGAGGTTCCCTGCACCAGAACGCCACCTAGGCTGGGCGCATGGCCCTCCCTTTGGGGGAGGTTGCCTCTTAGGACACTGATCTGCCCCTGGAGGCACACACACCTCAGCAGGCTGTTCACAAATATCCCTTCTGTGCCTTGGGCAATGCTAGAACTCGGTGCAGGGGATCTGGTCTGCAGGTCCGACCTCTGGGTCCCAGAGTTCAAACTGTATCCCCACCAGGGAGAGGAGTTCCGGTCCCAATTCACCCACAGGAGCCAAGCTATGTCTGTGTCTTCAGCCTCTGAGTGGGCCACTGTTCTCCTGGGACACGGTGCCAGCAGCACCTGAGGGGGCTGGCGGGTAGGGAGCTCACGTCTGAGTTCCCTTAGTCAGCTGTAGGGTCCCAAAAGAGAAGGTCCCGTTCCCTGGAGGTGCCTCTGGCTGGTGGCTGTATCGTCTCTCTGGGCAGCCGCGGGTAGGTCGGCGGAGGGAGAGAGGCGGCAATATGGCACCTGCCCGCGAGCTCGGTCTGTGCACACGGAGGTGCCCTGAGGGATTTGGAGTCTGGTGCCGTGTCCGCTACAGGCTCACCGCTAGCTGTGGTGGCCGTCTCTGGGTGGTGTCCGCAGGTCTCTCCACGCTTGGGGAGCCCACCAGCAGTCCCAAATGCAGGGGAGGGGAAGGTGATTATCCACCTACCCTTCCTGCTGGTCTCGGGCGCTCCAGCGGTCTCAGCTTCCAGTTCTCTCCCCGCAGCCTCCTCCGTGGAGTCTCCCGGGTCTCAGGTAACCCTCCTTCCGGCCTCGTCTGCTGTAAAATCCGCTCTTCTGCTTCTTTCTTTCTTTTTTTTTCTAATTTCTGCTAGAACCTGTCTTTTCTGCAGAGACACTCTTTCTGGCGGCATCTTGATCCTCCCCAAAAGTAAGTTTTAAGATGAATCTCCTTCATCTACTCTTTCGCGAACCTGATTCCTTGAACTGCTTTTGTAATGTTTATAGCTCCCTTTTATATATATATGAAATTATCAGAACAGCATGAATGCCTTCAAATTTTGAGAAGCTAGGAAATAACCAGGAAGGATGAATGCTACACTTACCAAGTATCTTATTTGCTAATTTATTCCCTAATTCAATGTTTCTGTATGTGTGTGTATGGGAGGGGGTCTACATCCTAAGTAGATGACATTCAAATGTAACTGAAAATTTTCATTGGTATGGAATTTTAAGCCATCTGTCTATGCAAGGTAACAACACAGAATGGTTCCAGAAGTCAATGACTGCTCACGTAGGCTGGAAGTCTACTGACCTCTGGAGTGAGGGGTGGGACACAGTATTTCTTTAGTGGAAAACAAGACCAGGGTGGTCTCCCACTTTACTCTAGTAAGAGCCTAATTGGCACAAATTGAACCAAGGATAACTCCTTCAAAGCACATGATATTAAATACCGACTAAGCTCATGAGGCCTGAGAGTAAGAGCTCATTCGCTATTCATTTGTGGATTTGCTCTTAACTTTCACAAAAATTAAATTTAGAAGTTGTAATTTTCCTCCTCTAACTTGAAAATATTGAGATAGTTTGAGCGAAATATGGTCACAACTTACATTTTGTGCCAAGTGTTAATATTTATTTTATCCAAGGGAATTTTCCTGGCCAATATTTAAAGAGCACATATGGTTCTTTTCTGTGGAAAATACTTAATATATGTTTTTAGAAATTTTAAAATAATAACAAAAGTAATCTATCAATCATGTATTTCCATGTGCTCAGATGAAAAAACAGAGCACAAGTAGTTTCGTTCTCTTGAATTTGTACAAAAGTTTTAAAAATTTTGCATTTTATTTAATTTTGGCATTGTTTTACCCCATTTCTGATTAATTGATTTTATTAGTTTTTTTCCTAATCTCATTCCTTCATTAAAAAAAGTAATAACAATATTATAAGTTTCAAAGAATACTAAAGTCATAACTACTTTTTAATGCTTAAATTATTAAAGTTGCAAAATGTACACTCATATGAATAGTTAGGCTGCAGATTGCACATATATTATTATAAAACTAAATATTTCAAGTTATCAAAGTTAAATTTTAATAAAATACATATTACAACCATAAGGTTTTCTATGGAAATTTTGCCCATTTTTGTTTGACTTTTCATTTTGAAACATGAAATTTTTCATCTCCAGACATGCAAGGACTTGTGAGGACCTATTGGTTAGTATTACTATTTTTATTCCAGTTTCATTTCATCAAATTTCATAGATTACAATGGGAAGAAAGATAACTTAATTCAGAAAGACATGACCAATAGAGATTCAATATATTAGTTTAGATAAATTATCTTAAATGTACTAGTAAAAACAAAATTTTAAGCATATGGAAATGAACTTTTATATAGTGGGTAATATCGTAAAAGATGTGGCATATAATATGAATCAGAAAATATGAAATAGTTGTGACCTTGCCCTCTAGATGAGAGACTTCCATATATTTAGGAAAGTTACCTCTTTTATTTTAATGGTAACAGGAATTCTATGGGGTTTTTTTTGAAGTTGTGATACATTTCTGTGTAATAAATGAGTATTTCTATTTATTAAGGCAGTACATAAGTTCAGGAAATTAAATACAAGAGAATTTAATTGTATAGGAGAAACATCTTAGTAAATTTTAAATAATATACACTTTGGGAAAAAGTTAATGGTAAGTAATAATAAAAGAAGGCAGTTTAGTAATAAATATAATAATCATGCATCACAGAGTGTGCAGTCCTCTCAGTATGACTCTATGACTCATTCTACATTTGGCTTACCATATCCTAAACACTTCACTCGATCACTTTTCCTTCATAAGTGCATCTGGGACAAATGCTGGAATTCCCAACACACCCTAAAATGGATTACAAAAGAGAAAGAAGAAAAGAAAAGAAAAAAAAAAAAAAGAAAGAAAGAGAAAGGAAGAAAGGAAAAGAAAAGAAAGAAAGGAAGGATGGAAGGAAGGGAGGGAGGCGGAAAAAAAGAAAGGAGAGAAAGGGAGAAAAAAGGAAGAAAGACTGTTCACCCACTATTTGCATTCATAAATGCATTAATAGATTGGTGACTAATTTGATTAGCATTTAAATATTAATATATTACAATTATTTTAGTAATCTTAATTCAAAATATTACATAATCTAAGATTGTATTCATTTTCACACAAGCAAAAGGACCATTATTTTGCTTTTTATTGTTATAAAAACTATAGGGAAAGATTATTTTCATACAGTATCTGAACATGTGTTGTTTCTTATTTGATGAAGGCTAACACATTAACTGATATAAATTAACAGAAGCAGAAAATGTCTTGCATTGAGTCATATAACCTGATTTGGGTATTGAGTTCTTAATTAATATCCAATCCTAAGTATAGCAAGTTTAAATAGAAAGATATTCATAGTTTAGTGTATGTAATAGAAATTATATTTGAACAAAGGGCTGTTATCATATGCATTTTTATGACATGACCTTCTCCCATGTCAGCTCGATGTAACTGTCAACTTAAAAGTAATTAAAATCGTGAGAGTACAGGAGGAAAAGAAACCACCAATATTCAGATGATGATATTATTAATACAAATATGATTTTTCAACAGGACATTAGGCTCAAATGCCAAGCACTTCTGAGGAAGAAATTATTAATAGTTTTTAATTTTTTTACCTTCTCTTTTAACTAATCAAGATTCAAGTTCTATGAACTAGATAATAGAGGGAAATCCCAGCCTGACAGGAAGAAATAAGTAGACATTCAAAGTCCTGGGAGATTATAGGGAAAATACTAGGCAGAGAAGCTGTCAAATATGTATCTGAATTTCTCCTCTGGGTTTGGCCTTCAGGAGTGGATGTGTCAATTAGTTTGATCTGAAAGCTGAGGACAAGGAACTCTTACCCAGGTCTCCATTTGGGACACTTGGAAGAGACTGTTATGCTAAGGACCCTGTGCCTCCATCAGGTAGAGCATTACTGTTGTGGAAATGAGTAAAATGTCCACAGATAAATAGGGTTTGGAATGATCTACAGAGCTTCTCTTGGTTCCCATGTGGCAAGAACCTGCTATAGTGGGGTGGCGCCACTGGGCAAAGGATCCAGATTGATAAAGTGGGGGAGAGTCTGCAACATGACAAGGATTGCATCAACAAAGACCCATTGACTGAGTTGAGAAAAATTGTATTTTGTGTTTATCAGCCCCAGATGTCAGCGGCAAATGCCAGCAGAACATTCTGGGAAAGGAAAGCCAACTAAATCCTGCATCAGACAGGAAACACTCATTTTTCAGTGGTCTTAAAATCAGTAAGTATCTGACAGATGGATCCAAAGACTCTTCCTTTTTCCCTAATATGTTCACGAGAGCCACCCAATTGCCTCAGTCCCTACATTCAACCTAACACCAATCTTTGAGAATAACAAGTGCATGAGGAGTGTGGTAACAAGAAAGCCAAGTAGTTATGTTCCAAAAGCTGAGCATTTCCTTAAGGACTGTTAAAATTGTTGGATTCGATTACATTTTAAACTAGAGTGGACTAAATGTAGCTTTTTATTTCCAACTAATCATAAGGGAAGCCAGAACTGCTATAGGCAAAACAGAGAAACTCTTTTTTTCTTGCTCTTCTAATGTGAGCAACTGCTACGTCTCTGTGGTATAAATACCACGTGAGCATTAAAAAAGGGTTAATATTGGAAAGGTTAAATATTAGTGAAACACCATAGGGGAACTAGAAAGGGAAACTATACAGTAATAATTATGAATCCTATTTGCTAAACTAAACCCTACTTTAAGCATTTTATTAATACATACATACTTTCATTTTTAATAATTCAGTTTTCAATTTATAACCAAGGCTAAGAAAGTTTAAATGACATACCTGGACTCAAACTTTAAAATATTAACCTCAATATTCTTTCTTAGAAACTGCTCTTCTAGGAGATTATGTACTAACATGTCAAGAAATTTATTTATTTTAATGTTTTGATAACAATATCTATTTTTATTTAGGTAGCTGTCTTTATATAATACAAGATGTAGGATTTAGTTATTTGTGAAATCCTTTTCTATAATAAAGTTTATGGTTGTAATCAAGTACCTTTGCCTGTTATTTGATTTAAAATAAGTAGATAAGCATAAATATGAAAAACTAACATTGTAATCTTTGAGAAGAGAGAGCTATAATTATTTTAAACCAAAGGGACTATAAAACCAAACTTTCATAAACCTATATAAAATACAAAAACTCCATTTATCTCTTCCAAGGAGTTGGAAGATAACTGTATTGGAAGTTAGAGTAATGAACTGGATTTATTTTGAAGATCCTCAATTTCCTACCACATTAGGAAAATAATATAGAGCACACAACATTTGTAATAGTATAAATTTAATACCCAGATGGAATGATGGAAATTATAATAATGCCTATTGACTCTACTCTATCTAAACAGAAGATTTAAGACCACAAAAAACAACTCTTGAAATACAATTCATCCAGCAAATCCTACCTCATCACCAAAAGATTTACTTAAGTGGAACATGCCAACACATCTCCAAGTTACCTATTATTTTGGGGACTCCTATTTTACAATATTATTCATTTTATTATTAATTGCCTCATAAACTAAAATAGGTGTGTGTGTGTGTGTGTGGAGGGGTACACATGCACATACACGTACCTTCAAGGTAGTAGGCACCTAGTAAGAGTGATTTATAATAATCATAATAACAAGTATAGCTGGCATACATAGGTTTAGGAATAAACACAAATGATTCTTGCTAAGTATCTAACTAAATTTATGAAGGTAGGAGTACCCAGGCAAATTTTAAACTGACCACAAGCATTCACAGTGATGTGGGCATAGGTCAATGTTTTCTTGAGAAAAGAGAAGAACTTCAGTTAAAACACTGTCTCTTCCAGATTTTCAACTAGTTTTAATTGTATTCATTGCATATATTGGTCAGCTGTTGTTGATTAAATCCAAAAAGGTAAGGTGTAGACTGGATTATTATGGGGTATGTAAGATTTGTCTTATAATTATAAAAAGTTAATATAAGAAAGTTTTGAGATTTCTGGAAATTAGGGCTTTGGGGAGTTAAGCCATCTGAAAACAAAATTGAAATATATTATGAAAACCATTACCTTTTTAGAAGAAATGTTTAGTAAAACAATTGACATAAACAAAATAATATTAGGGAAAACTATTAGCTATGCAAGGAAAAAGAACATTATTTTCCAATGTCAGGTATATTTATTTTTTAATTCTTAAAAAAGTAAAGAGACTTTATTCAAAATGAAATGAAAGAGAATCTGTAAGAAAATATTGTTCCTACTCTAATTTGAACTCTAATGTAAGTAGAAAGTCAAGTGTAAAAATTTTTGGATTGGGAGTTTAGAAACTTAAGTACTAGTTTTGTCACTGAGTGGCCTTGAGTAAACAATTTAACTTTTCCATTCCAAGGCCATTAAAACAAAGGTGTTTAATTAGATTATTACCAAAATTGCTCTTAATATTAAATTTCTATGACTCTAGGACTTCCAAAAGTCCAGAAAAAGTAAAAACTTCAGCTGAATTGGAAGTGAGAACAGCTTTGTATGACAAAGAATTTTATTATAGATCTTTAAATCTTCCTCAGTTTTCACATGGCAAAGGTGTGAGTTAAGAGTAAATCAAGGTGGCTCATGCCTGTAATCCTAATGCTTGGGAAGCTGAGACAGGAGGATCACTTGAGGTCAGGAGTTCAAGACCAGCCTCAGCAAGAGCGAGACCCTGTCTCCACTAAAAATAGAAAAAATTAGCTAGCCAGTAAAAATAGAAACAGAAAATTAGCCAGGCATGGTGGCAAGAGCCTGTAGTCCCAGCTACTTGGGAGGCTGAGGTAGGAGAATCATTTGAGTCTAGTAGTTAGAGGTTGCTATGAGCTAGGCTGATGTCATGAGACTCCAGCCCCGGGGAAAAAGAACAAGATTCTGTCTCAAAAAAAAAAAATTAATTCATAAATTAATTTAATTTTTTCAGACTAATATGGAAAACAAAGTGCCAAATGATCTTTCCATTTCAATTATTGAAATTCCCTCCAACTGCACTCTACCGCAGTTCAACTCCCTGGGGCACAGAGAGTAGTTGGTGAAGAGAAGGGTACAAGTACTCCAGCCTAATCCTTCACACCCAGCACGACACACTTTATGTATGTTGAGTTATGTGTACATTTAGTGTTTAAGTGGAAAAGAAACTGAAACTATCTCTTTTTTACAAACACACAGACACATATTGTTGCTTCCACAACTTCAAATTCTTCTGAAGTGTTTAGAAACAATACGGCTAAAGATTAGGAAATGGAATCATTCCATTTGCCATCCTCATAAATATGACAGACCAGTGTCACTCCAGCAAATGACCAAACAGTAGAATTAAATGAATTTGTGTTTATTTTATTACTATTACATCAAACATGACACAATGAGATTCTTCTCTCATTCACTGAGAATTTACTGTAGTCATTAGCCTGTCCCAGGTCTTGAGGATGAAGAACCAGTTAGAAATGGCCTCTGCTATCAAAGAGTTTATCATCTAATGAACAGAACATACACATAAATAATAATGACTCATAATAGTAATGACTTATAATAGCAATGTTTCCGATGGAAATGAAAGAAAACTTTATTTAGAGTTTCACAAACTCAATTCATCCAAGGAGTGTCTGACATCAGGTGTGGTTTGGTTCAAGGCTCAAGCAATGTGCCTTGGGCTTGAGTTCTCTCATTCGGTTTCTTGGCTCTGGTTTTTCAAATGTTGGATCTGGCCTCTACTGTCATTACTGCAAAATAGTTTAAATGTGCCCACAATTGAATCAACTCCTGTGGATCTGGTGAATTATACCCCAATCAAATGATTGAAAATGAGAGAGGGATATTATTCCAAAGGAACTTTCTGGAATTGTTATAAGGGGGAAATTGATGCTGAGTGACACCCCTACACACACACACACACACACACACACACACACACACACACACACACACACGGCAAATGCTCCTTAAAGGAGCAGAGTGATTAAGAGGTAAAACTCTCTAACTCAGACCTCAGACTGTCTGGGATTAAATCCTGCTCAGAACTAAGAAATATGTTAATCTCTTCTCATGGGTTGAATGAGAATAAGAAAACTGATATCTTAAAATAATTTGAGGATTTGGTGACATAATCACTCTTAAGAATTAGTACGGACATGGTATATGTAGTAATCATGGTAATCGGTTCATAAATGTAAACTATAATTACTATTACTTAATTTTCTAACTTCTTTGTTTTTTGCACCATGAACTTTGCCCTTTATTGCTTTCAATGACAATTCAAGGTCAACTATTGAATTGTAATTCCCTTACCATATTCCTTGTATCAGAAATACCTACTATCATCTCATTTTGAGGTCACACCATATTATCCATGCGTGTCAACCTTAATCTGCCTCCCATACGAATGTTGCATCGTATTCCATAGAGGCTGCATCTGTTCAAGCTATGTTATGCCACAGTAAAAAGCAATCCCAAAATATCAATGGCTTTCAACAATAAATGTTTGTTTACACTCATTTTATACGATTACTTGGCTGTGTTTGGATCCATATACTCTTTTACGCTGGGAAATTGCTAGGCTTGCAGCAAAAGAAAAATAGGAAAGAGAAAGTATGAAATATCTTTTAAAGCTTCTTTTCAGACATAGCACCCATCATTTCTGCTTGCATTTCATTAGCTAACACAAATCATGTGGGTAAGGCTGATATCAACAGAGTAGGAATATATAATTCTATGGAGAAGACTGAATATTTTGACAATCATAAATAATGCAATCTACCACTTTCTTTTTTGGGGACCAAGAAAAAAAAAGGAAGTTCATTTTTCTTCTTCCTTCTTTTTTCTGAGAAGATGGGTCAGAAACTCTTAACAAAGGAGAAGAGATTTTCAATCTGAATTTTACCCACAACATCTTCCACCTTCTTCACTAAGCATCAAGTCATGCTTCTATTGTTGATAATTACTATTAGAAATGTCAATAAGTCACCCTGTTTTTTATCTCTTACACATTTATTCCACATATCACTATTTATCCATATTGTACATTATTTTATTTTGCATTTTAAAAATAATGTTTAAAATTGCAAGATATTTTTACAATGAAAAATCATTAAAGAATAGAATTGTAGACCTATTGAATAATTTAGGGATTCAAAGACTATTTTGAACTTGTCAATATTTGACAACATACTAGTTGGATTTTATCTTGTTTAAAAACTACAATTATGGAAATCCAGTGCTGAAGGGACCCAATGGAGTTCTTGACCTGTCCCTGGCTTTATGACTGAAGAGGCTGACTGAGGTGGTTTGGGTAACTAGTTGGAGATCACACATTTGATACTAGAGTCAAGAATAGCAAGCAGGATTCTGACCCTCATGTGATTCCAGTTCATGATTGTTCCTTTCTAGAAGTGATTCCCTGCACCATGGATCACTACATTAAAGTACCCCTGAAACTTTATATCTAGACTTTGTATCTACCTCAGCACCACCTGTCAAATTCTGGTTCGGTTTTAGCAGTGTTGCCTTCTTTGGATAGGAGAGTTTCTGTAATTGTTAGTATCGGAATGCAGTACTATTTTACTACGATTTAATTAAAAGGAAAAGAATGGAAGAATAAGATAAAAGTGCCACAACTGGTGGTTAAAATCATTAGCTCATAAAATTAGTTCATTTGAGATAAAGATGGGAGTCCCTTGTTCTTTTCAATGGGTATCTAACAGAATATTCAACTGTTCAAAAGGTATTCAATGAATACTTGGGAGACGGAATTGAACCAAAGTGAATTGAATTGAAATCAATTGAATTGAATTGAAACAAGTCAGCTGTCCACACTGGAAATTGTGGTTACTCTATGAGACCACTAGGAGGAGTTACAATTCAGAACATTGAATTATTGCAGGGAAACCACAAATCACAACTTTTTTCCACCCTGAGTCTTATTTAGGTATTGAAATGTAAACCGATGTTGTAGTTGGCATTCAAGAAGATGAGAATAGGCCATTATCTAATTTATTTTTACTAAGTTTGGTAGAAAGATAATATAGTCTTTATTTCTAATAAAAATGTGTAAGTGCTGAGGTACTACTTACTGTAGGTTTATTGGGGGTGGGGAGAATAGTCTGGGAAAGATCTCAAGAATGTCCCTGTAATCCAAGAAAGATAATTGTCTTTTTTTTTTTTTTTTCAATATTCTTCAGAGATGGGAAAAATCTATCGTGGTCTGAATTCTCTATAAACAAAGAAACAAACAAAACCTTGCCTGCTTATTAATCTTAAAATGATATATACAACACAGATGGTGGTAATGAAAGATGCAGTTGAATGCTTCTCTATTATTGAAAAGTTTTAAACTGTGTAATTGCTGTACTATTTCATCTCATCCCCTTCTGTCATTTCAGTAATATATCTAAAACCAAACAAAGAAATGTCTATAATAAATTACTATAAGAGCATACTTAGTTTTCTCAAGCATAAATCTGATGAGAATGGAACTTTAATGATTCTGACTCTGCCCATCCAGTCTTACATGGAACCATTAGATCAACAAAGCCAGCTGTTCTTAAGTTCCATCAGGAGTCAGTATTAAAATAAAAGTAAATATTAAGTCTGAACCTAATTCTATTTTATAAATATTGTCATCAATTTTTAAAAATACTTTGCTTGATTATCTTTTAAATTTTAACTTCTTCAACTTGATTGTAAAATATTTTTTTCTTCTCCTTTTGTGTGTCAAACAATGTGTTTTTCCCTGGATATGAGATTTTTTGAACTGTCCTCACTAGTCTACCCACCACCTTTACCCTCCAATGGTTCCACGAGGTCTCAAAGAAGTATTATGGTAATATTACAGAATGCTTCTCTATAAATTGACTTAACCATGTTATAAATGTTCTATGGGAAGTTTTTGCTACTTCTGTAGGATGCTCAGAATACAGGATGATCTGAAAGATTTGAGCAAAAGGAGATTTATACTCATACCAGATCAGATTTCAAAAACAGAAAGGATAGATAGATTTTCTCAGACACTAGCTTATACACAATGATTTGTTTTATTTTAGGATGTAATAATGTCACTTTCACTAGTATAAATTATATATACTGATTCGTGAAGTTCTTTTACTATCAGCATTCTTAGTATATTCAACAACAATGAAGAGGATGTGGAAGGTATGTATGATTATTTAGTACCTACTATTTATGATAGTTCATCTTCCCTATTCATGGTTCAGAAAGATCATCATACTACTAGATTCTATGAGAAAGCAAGAATATATATGTATATATGTAAATCAAAAGAATATTCAATATATTTAAATAGTATATCTATATATTTATTATATAGATATATATTTATTATATAGATATATATTTATTATATAGATATATATTTAAATATATAGATATACTATTTAAATATATATCTATATAATATAAACACAGCATATTATAATTATTAGGCACATTATTAAATATATAACATGTTTATATATTTTCCACAGGTACCAGAATAAACAGCAAAATACTCTTAGTCAAGATATGTTTTAAATAACAAGAATTGCTTGGAAGTCATGGTTCCATCCTGTCTACAGGGGGAGTATATTTCTAACCATTCATTTTTCTAATTCCATTGGAGATGATGGATTCAGTGTGCTTAATAAGGAATGTTCTTACTCAAAATGATTGTGATGTCACGGCCATTCCATTGTTTCTGGTCAGTATCTATTTTAACTTAGTACATTTTTAAATCAGCAGTTATTGAAAAGGAAATCTGTATTGTTCATGACAGCTACCCTATTCTTTTCAAAAACAACAAGAGGTTTTTATTAAAAGCAAAGTTGTATATGGCCATTTTTTGAGTTTTTATTTTATTACCAGTAAAAGAACAAAACATCAGACAAGACTATTGTCTGATCCATCTGGTGCTATATTTCCTCTGCACAAGCCTTGTATAACACACAATATTTCAACTGCAAATGTTGTTCAGCTTCTAAAACAATTGCCTATCAAAGCATCCAGGTCCGATTGATAATGGAGCAAAGCCTTTCCTGCAATTGTGAGCCAGGAAATGCTGGCCCCTTGGCAAGTCTCATATGTCCTGTTACTTGTAATCTCCCTGCCTCCTTGCTGGAATGTGTTATTTTTAAGCAGCTAGACTAACAGGAAGAGAAAGTTGTTACTTCTTTTCATGTGACTGAGGCAGGCATGGGAAGGTAGTAAAGGAAGAAACAGTGTTTAGGAATCGGGGCTGATCAAATCTCAAAATCACTTCCCAGGTACCAGCCACAGAGCTAAGGGAAATCTCCAGCTCTGAACATGATTTGGGATCAATAGCAAGTTCCCCATTCCATAGCCCAATACATTTTGCAGGCGCTGCTAACTGAAAAATCAAGATACAAGCTGTATCAAAGGTGCATAGAACTTCACTGTTATGTACTTGCATAGATTAAAAAAATGTGTTTCATTTTGCAGAGAACTGCCCTGAAAATAAATCACTTTAAAGAGAACTACAAAAATAAAGACAAATTTTATATCATGATGATTACAGAATGTTGACTCAATATTCAATGGAGCATTTTACTGACCACCATAAACAGGTTATATAATTTGACCAAAAAACCCCCAAAACTCTCTCATATTCACCTATGTAAGAAGTAGTAATCTTACATTACCAATCTATCACATCACATATATAAAAAAGAATTTATTTCCTTACTTAAATAATTCATTTGCTGTCTCCTAAGAGAGTTTACTTTAAAGGACAGATCAATTTTAAGAAAAAAAATGACAAAGCACATGCCGACTATGAAAGGCATTTTGCTTTGTTCATCTTAAACAAAGCGTGTTTCTGTCTTAGATCTTTTACTCTTACTGTTTGTCTCCCTAGAATGCTCTCCCTGACCCGTCCCCCTTAATAAGACCTCTCTGCTCAAGTTGTAACCTTTTGATGACTAGAACATTGCACACCCCACCCTATCTCCATTGCCTTCCACTTTATGTTTTTCACAGCCCTTAACATCACTGACACACTCTATATATCTACTTGTTTGCTGTGTATTTATGTCTTAACAATTTCTTCCAGTAAAAATGTAAGGCCCATGTGAGCAGAGACTCTGTTTTGTTCACCGTGGCATTCCAAGCACCAGGAAAGCCAGGCCGTGGCAAGTGGTAGACACCCAATAAGCATAAGCAGAATGGTTGAGTAAGTTATTTTCTAGGTATTATTTCTTTATTAGTTTGTCGTGGTGTACACTTAATTCCAGTTATCATTCCTCTTACATATCCAAATGATTCAAATAACTCGAGACTACGGCAATGTATTCTAACTTATATAAAAGGTATCACCTGAATATTATAAATCTATGAAAGTCACAAGAGGGAATGCTTGTATGTGTATGTGAAGGTAACCAAATACTGAATGCTAAAAAAGGAGTAAGATGTAATCAAGCTATCATTCTTATTATCTCCTTCATCTAATCTTTATTTTTGCTGATAATTTAACATTAAATCATCATGGGTAAATTATGCAACCATTTGCATCTGCATAGCAAAGAGCCAACACCCTTTCAACTCCACAACCATCCCTAATATTTGGATTCCCTTCATGTCTACTAAAAGTCTCCACTGTCTATGTCAGATTTATATATCCATTTGTGACAGTGTATTTTCATTCATTCTTTAGCAGTCAATAATAAGTACTATAGATTCCAAGCTGATTGGTGTTTAGAACAGCTCTAATATCCCTCTCTTTAGCCAACCCTTAATGCTTTAAGAATACCTTAAAAAGGAAAAGAATGTAGAAATGATATTAAGTATTAAAGAGCTACAATTTTATTAAAATTGTATTCTTATTTAAAATTGTAAGTCCTCAATCTGGAGGAGATTGAGAGATTGGGCAATTTTGCTTCTAGCATTTTGTTTATTTCAACCCATGTGGTGGTAGTACATTGGCTGGCTTGGTCCCTCTGTCCTTCTGGGTAGCAGAGTGAGGCAGAGTTTAATATGTAGAAAGGACAGTAAGTTTGTTATTATTATTCTACTCTCCTCAATACAATTTTTTTTTCTATATTAGGGACTTACCCAGTTTAGAGGAGGCTTCCCCAAATCAGCCATCCCATATATAGAAAACTTGCAATAATGAAATAAATTTTTCAACTTTTTTCAGAAATCTCCACATTTGTGTCTTATATCGACATACTGGAATCTCCAGGACCCAGCACTGTCATGTGTCTTGCATGGGCCTCCCGCCCTGTCAGGTCTGCATCCCAGGCATGTGGTTACCAGACAGGTCAAGAACTTGAAGCACCCTGACAAGACTGCTTTTAGTCTTAACCTACAATGAAGTCACATGCCCATGCCCGTATCCGGATTCAACTGACACCTCATGAAAGATGAACACTTTTTTATGTATACACAAATTCACCAACTCAATGTTAAATGCCCAGCACTCTTCTCTGGGGCCTTTCCTGGAGTCGCTGTCTATAGAGAGCCATGGCTTTTTTCATTCATTGTCTCTATGTTTTGTGTTTCCTTGTAGTCTTAAACTCAGACGAGCAGCTCTGGGTTCATATATCTAACTGACCAGTTGTCAGACTGTTTTCCTCCTGTGTACTCTTGCTCAGTACTAGGCACCATTGCCCATACAAGTGTTTAACTCATATTCTCAGTCATCCTCAACTCTTCTCTTCCTCAGTCTGTACACAATCACCAAGTTCTGTTGTTTACACTTACCTTATATTTCCCACATAGGTACAATTCTTTCTTTTCTCATTGCCAAACGCTACCACTGAAGTTTCATTTCCCTAAAAAAAAGAGAGAGAAAAAAACAGCATTTACTCTCTTATTTCTTAAATTTATTTTGCATAATATTCTAAAGATATTTCTTTTATAAAATACAAGATATATGCATCAATTTCATGGTATAAATCCTTTATTTGTTTCCTATGTCCCATGGAAACATGATTCAAAATGCTTAATGTGGCCTACAATGCCCTCCATGATCTGGCTCTGGCTATTTCTTCAATCTCATCACTTAACCCTGCCCCCTGCACTCTCTCAGATTTAGCCATAATGCATGAAAATGCCAATTCATCTGCCTGAAATGCTTGCCCTACTATCACCTAGGTTACCAGCATGCATTCTTTAGGGGTCTGGGTAAACATCATCTCCTTAGAGAAGTCATGCTGATTTCCTGTTACATGCTTCTCCACCACACTTTTGGTCCTGATAGCTTAAAACTCTATAATGATTGAGTATATTATTTATATTTTTTATTTTTACCTTTTCTGCTTTACTGCAAGTTTCATGAAAGGAAGAATTCATGCCAAGCACGGTCACCTCTGTGTCCCAAAATATCTGTCACAGTGCCTGATATATAGTGAAGACTCATTAAATATGTGACAAGTGAATGAACAAAAACAATCATTATTATGGCCAAGTCTTTGCTCCCTAAGCTGCTGTTTCAATTTTATGAAGTCCATTCAAAATTCTTAGCTGCCAAGGGAAAACTTGAGTAATGTTTCTTTGCAAATCATTCTTTCTTTCATTTCTCTGTGTTCAAAAGTGATCTATTAAAAAAAACAACTTTTCAGTAAATAGTTCTAATAAGTATTCAACCAAGAATAAAAGTAAATAATGTATCAAAAAGGTAAATTGAGAAGGATAAACAAAATGAAAATGTTATGGAAAGAAAAAATCTAAATTTTTGACATAAAGAAACTCCTTGAACTTTGAATCTAAGAAAGATCTAAGAGAATATTCTCTTTGAACAATGATAGAAAGAACATTAAATTTGGTAATTACACAAACAAACAAACAAAAACAGTTAAAACCAGCATCTTCCTGACCTGAGGGAAACAATAAGCTGATAAGTAAATCTAAAGAGCTAATCTAGGGAGGTTTGTGTATGAAAGAAAGAAAATGATTTTTCACATGTCACAAGAAAGAAACATCCATTAGAATCCATACTGAGGGTAGCAAGCAGCTCAATCGCAATGTAGAACTGCAGGATAAAGCTCAACAGAGCAGTGTGCTGTGAATTTGGGGGCAGGTCTGGCCAGGCAAAGGCAGTGTTAAAAATCACACAGCGGCAGAGCTGATAAAAACACATCTGCTTTCTCTCTTTGTACACAAGACAATCAGTGCCGCTATTTAACTTCAAGTTTTACCTCTGAAACTTTGATACTGTAGATGTAAAATGATTCAAGACAAGAGAAAAGGAGGCAACTTTATTGGGGGGAAAAAAAGCAAATGCAAATTTAGAAAGCTCAGCATGTAGGTAATTGAAAGCAGAGAAGGAAGTCATTTCTAGATAGTATTCTAATCCACATAGTTTCATTTTCAACCAGTAAAGTGTAGCAAAGCCCTGACCCTGAAACATTTGATTTAACAAGCAAAGTGCTAGTTTAGAGGGAAGCCATGTATTTTCATGGCTCTCATAGGGAGTAAGGCAATTAGCTCAGTTAGGTAAAATTGGGTGGGTATTAATTAGTTTTTTAAAATTTTTTTATTATTAGATTTTCCTAGTTTTCGTAATTTGGCTCCCTAACTTTACACACTTCTCAGTGTACATGTGTAAAGTACTACCATGACCAACTGATCTGGGCTTCTACCTCCCTAATCTCTGTTCCTACCACTCCTACCTTTCTCCTCTCCTTCCTCCTCACTGTTCTCTGAACTGTGTCTTGAACACATCAAGTACACTCCTCCATCAGGGCTTTTCTCATTATTCCTTCTACCATAGAGACTGAATACTGTCTGCCCCCTGGCCCCTCCCTGGAAGTCTAGCACTTGGGTGAAGCAGATGGACACATCCTAGAACAGGGCTCTGTAAAGGCATAAAAGAAAAGTTCACAGAATTATAAATGTAGCCAATTACATTGAAACAAAATGATTAAAAAATTTTTCTTAACTAAATTTGCTTTATGGTAACATATATACTTCTTTATTAATCATCAATGGAAGAAGATCTAGCAGCACATATAACAATAATCATAATGTCAAAGTACTGATAAATGTAGATGACGTTTCAAGATGTCTGAGCACATCTAAAATAAATTTATCTAAATAAAGATATCTAAATTGAGTAACAAAATTACAGGTGCTGCTAGGACTCCTGTAGCTGAATGATAAAAATCAAAATTGAAGGGAATTCTAAATTTCACTTAGAGGTTATCAAGAGTAATGTTTTAGTTTTTGTTTGTTCATTTGTTTTTGTTTTTCCAATTCAAGTTCATGGCCTACCTGAATTCTAAGACGAAGTCTAGCCTAAAAACTCCTGCTTAATACAACATTATTTTCCCAGATATCTGCATTACTTGGGCTCCACATCCTTCAATTCTCTAGTTAAATGTCTCCCTATAGTAAGGTTTTCTCTACCATAGTAGTACCCCTTATATTTACTTTATATCTCCTTTACCCTATTTTATTTTTGCCCATGACACTTACTGACTTACCGTATATTTACTTGTTTATTTATTTCCTGTCTCCCCACTGTTATCTAAGTGTAAGAGTGGAGTTTTTCTTTCGCTTTCAATCACTGCCATATTCCCAGCACACAGTAAGCCTTTAATAGACATTTGTTCAATGCATTGCATGAATAAATGATCTTTTACTTTGGCTTTAAGATCTCATTTCTGATTATTTTGCTAGTCTTATCTTGTACCACTTCCCTCCTGACTTACTGTGTCCCAGCCCCTCTTGTCTTCTCTTTCTTTTGAGGAGGAACCAAATGCCATCTTGCCTCGAGGTCCTAATCCAGGCATCTCAAGCTCTCTGGAGTGGTCCTCCTCCCATCCTTCTACAGCTCTACTTGGCCTGGTGAAATTCTACTCATCCTGAACATCCTAGTATGCCCATTTAACAGTCTGTATGAGGCATACCCTTACTATTCACTCTATATTTCTTTCATTACATTCTTACCAAATGTAACTCAATTTTTATTTGTATCATCTTTCATTTGGCATCTGTTTTTCAAACTAGACTACAGCTCCTTGGAAGAAAGTCACTGACACTTATAAGTGCCTGATCAATATTTTAAAAATGAAATTAATAAACCAAACAAGTCACAGAGACTACCCTCCACAGATTCTTCTAAATGTAAAACTTGGAGCACAATAACAAAGTAAGTTGGCCTAGCTTGAGCAATCATTGCTTGCACCTGTTGTCTTTGAATTAAATTCTAACGAGATGGCAGAGATCACTCATAAATATTTATGAAGCCATGGAGCTTGGCACAAACTAGCACTGGGCTGCAGACCCCAAGTGATGTTATTTCTTGTTCAGTAGCTTTCCGGTGTCACAGCCACCAGTCCCATCCTAAAGTGTTGCCAAAAATTTGATCTCCAGAAGGAGCATTTTTTCTGTCTAGCTTGATTACAAAGCCTGAATTTAGAAGATTCAACATTTTCATATAATTTAATCTTAAGAGGAAATAAGTTTCTTCATTTTATCCCAAAACCACTAGTTTTCAGTAAACAAAACACTATGTAAGAGATATGTTACATATAAAAGTAAGTATTGTAATCAAAAGGAAGGGCACCCTCCTTTTATTTTAGTCCTCTTGTTTATAGTCATACTTAGGACAGTGGTAATGGATCTTAAGAGTAAAGAATATTCAAGGCAGACATCTGAGTTAAAGAAGCGTTTGTAAAAACCAAAACCAAACCAAGCTGACAATAGCAGCAATGCTATTAGATTCCTCAAGAAGTAAAAATTAATACAACTGAAGAGCACTTCTAAATATAATTCTTCTCTTCGGAAAATACCTCCAGGTCTTTCATCATCAATACAGACATTTCATTTCATTTATGGATAACTTTATTGCTATCTATCCAATTGAAATTAAGTGTGAGAGAATGTTTTATGCCATATTCATTTGTCTGTCTTAACTGTTGTAAGACTAGACCCCAGTGTCAGTATTTTGAAGGAAATATTGCAGAGTAGTAGGGTACTGACTCTCTCATCAGTTCATAGGATGGAGGACCCAAATATATTAAAAAATAAACAAAAAAATTTAAAAAATTTAAGTAGATTATTCTGAATTTTTAATGCCAGCTAATTATTTGAGGGTAGAAAAATAAACAAATTATAGTGTAGCATTATTACTCGGGAATAATTTTCACTTCCATATAACAATTTGGGAAATTAAGCAAATAATCCAAAATTTCCTTGAAAGTTACAGAACTACTGATAATTATAAAGAGATTTTCTTCTTTTTACAAATTTGGAGCTCTTTTAGAAGGCTTTTTTGTAAAGCTAAAGCCTGCTCTTGAAATGGTTGTAAGCAAAATGAATTAAACCACTAAGAAGACAGAAAATATTTTGGGCAAAGATTAATTGGTATATTCCTGAATTATTTTTGCAGCCAATAATTTTTGAATTATTCTAATAAAAAAATTCATAATACATAATATGCTTTCTCAGTATATCTAAAAAAGAGAAACAGTGATTCATGGTAGAATTATACATTTCAGACTTGAATTCCACTGATCATAGTGAAGTCATGACAGTGCGTTGTTGCACCAGAAGGGGGCCCCTGGTTGGTGGGTTCCTGTGTTTACACACACACACAGCACACATGCAATTGCTACTGGCCATTGTTCAGTACACTTTCTATAATGTGATCACTGAAGCAAGAATTAATTCTATTCTATTTACTCTCTCACAAACACATACATGTATGGGTTCACAAAGCTAGTTTTGAGAAAAGTCAGATAATCATTTCTATAATAACTTATCTACACTGTACAATATAAACAACTAGGCTTTATACTTACAGGAAATAAGTGGTGTCATTTTTAGCAGCATGACAGCAATTTTGAAAAAAGCCTTTTTGGTATGCCTTTACTTAAAAAAAAACATTGCTTATGGAGATTTTTGGTTTTTGCAAGTCCAATCACGAATGTTGTTCACTTGTCCCCATCTGCATTAAATACATTTTTGTTCATCTGTTGAAAAAAAACCAATTGCCAAACAATTGCTTATCAAAATTAGCATCCGAAAAAAATCAAACCAGTAATCGGTCTCATTGGTCTCAATGTATTCAATTAACATAAATCATGTTCTATGTTGCAGATAGTTTTCTAGGCAACAGGAATGCAAAGCTTCTGTAAGAGTTGAGGAGAAGAAATTTTCTATCAGAATAATATGGAATGCATGGGAGAAGCAGGCAATAAATAGAAGCAGTCCAGAAGAAGTAGTGATTAAACCGTTTCAGGCAGGGAAAGGAAGGGCTCAAAAGGAGCCTATACTTAAATATGTTTTTGGAAAAAAGATTTCTTAGGTACAAAAAATTAACAAGACGGCATCAAAACCTTAAGAAAAATAATATCCCCTCCCCTATACCAAGATCACAAAGTAACCTCCAGATATGCCAGAAGGAAAAAAGGGAAAGAAAAAAAAAAAATATATATATATATATGAAGACATATCATAGAATATATCATGAAACATGAATATACATTAAACCAGTTATGCATTTTTCAAGAGAAACAAAAATAAACCGCAGCTCTATTTATTCTATGATAATATAAACAGTAAACCAACTTCATGAAGAAAGACACTTAAAATTGAAATAAGCTATGAGCATCTTTTCATCCTGTTTGAACCCTGTCGCCTCAGTTTGTGCAGGCTGCTGGCAGGGTGGGGGCAACGGCGCAGATGCTGTGAGATGCTGTGTGTCACTCAGGTGGAGGGAAAGGGTGCAATGCAGTCAAAGCATGCAAATAGTACCTTCCAGTACCTCGTGAGCATTCAAACTCTTTCTGACAAAGGAGATTTTACTGGACAAGGCGACCTCTCTAAGGGTGGGGACAGGCGGGCAGTATCTGAGAAACAAGGGACTCAGCTCTTTCTTTTGGCTGAGCTGTTTCCTAAGGGGCCTCCCTAAAGAAGTCAGCTAATTTCAGGATTTTGTTTTCCTGAGCAGATTAGTTAAACTAAAGAGAGAATCCCTGCAAAACAGGAAGGATTCCTAGTGGCTATAAGGGAAAGACAGAAAAGAGGCTACAATAGCAAGGAGAGCTTAAAGGGGTAAATCCAAAAGAATATATTTCATAGAAGTTTACATTAAAGCGGGTTGAAATCTTTAGTAAAATCTACATTACTTATAACCATAATTTACTGTGGTTGGATTGTTGGTTTTCCAACAAATTCTTTCTGCGAATTACAATGAACAAGGAACAGAAGCTGAGACTACTCATGGAAGGCCAAAGAAATATGGATTGTAACTGTATTTTGTAAAAGAATTGTTATAAAGTATTATGCTATTGACTGATGGAAATATTAACTGTTAATGAAATTAAATATTAGTATGTGAAGTGTTACCAGAGATAGCTTAAGAAAATAAACTCAATATCTCATTGTCTAGGACAGGCGTCCTCAAACTATGGCCCGCAGGCCACATGTGGGTGTTTTTGCATGTTTATATTTTTGCTTCAAAATAAGATACGTGCAGTATGCATAGGAATTTGTTCATAGCCTTTTTAAACTATAGTCCAGCCCTCCAATGGTTTGAGGGACAGTGAACTGGCCTCCTGTTTAAAAAGTTTGAGGACCCCTGGTCTAAGATATAACAATATAAGTGAAATAAAGAACTCTAATGATAAGACATTCTATTTTAGCTATTTTTTTGATGGAATGGAGATATTTCTTGTATTTTTTTGATAAAGGGAACTATGATAATGCTACATGTGGCCAACGATTTTTTTTAAAAAAATATCAATTTCCCTTTGTTTCAACTGTAGTAATTTCTGGTTGAGTGCTTACTATGTACTTGTCATTTGATGCTGCAACTTTGCACTAGTCCGGGGATTTAATGGGAGCTTTAAGATATGGCAGTCCTGCAAGCGCCAATGAAGTGCTTGATGTTTACTGTATCATTTCATCCTCACTGTATCCCTGGGAGGCAGATTTTTTTCATCACATTTTACAGGTGTAGAAATGGACTCAGGGAAGGTAAATAACATGCCCACGGTCTCCAGGAGCTGAAGTGGATGACTTAGGACTCAAAGCAAAGTGGTTTACCTTAGTCCACTTACTCTAGATGAAGCAGGGTGTGTCAAGACCGGATGTACACCCCAGTGGGAGGGAGTGTGCTGGGGGAGGAGTCAGCCTGGGAGGAGAGATTCATCTTAACAGATGTGAGGACTCAGGAAAGCTGTCTAATATGCCTGAATTAAGATTCAGAATCAGCATTCTTCCAAGTTTAAATGAAATTGCAAGTGTAAGATAGGTTTTCTTTCTAGTAAATGCTAGCTCTCCCCCACACAAAATAACTGGTAAAATTTCACCCAAGCCATCTACAAATAGAAAAATTTTCAGATTAAATTATATTTTAATAGTTTACAATAGAAATCTTGCTTCTTATTTTTTTTTATTTCATGTATATGTAGGTGTGCACATGTGTACTTTACTCAGGAAAAGCAGTTGGATGCTTCGTATTTGTCATCATTGTGAATTCCCTGCTTCTTACTACCAAACTGATCATGTTGGTGAGAGAAATATCTCTAAAAGGCAATTCCTGAAAGTGTTTTTTTAAGATTTTCTTTAGATTTGATGGTTTTTCCTAATCTTCAAGGAATTTTGCTACTGCTATTTCCATTCTATTGCTGTGTTGTCTCTATCCCTTTGCTTTACATATTCACTCTACTATATTGTGAAACTGAGTTGGAGATGTTTCTCTTTGCTTATACAGAAACACCACGACTCCCCTCCTGTTTCTGCCCATTTCCCAGTGTTGCACTAAATTTTGGTTATCGGCTGCCTCCAATCCTTTCTATATATTTTTGAGGGTACAAATCCCAAGCATAGTATTATCCTCATGCCTATCCCAGCCTGATTCTCAGCTCTTAGTCTTCTCTCTCTCTCTCTCCCTAAGTGGCTGCAAAGGGGAGTTTCTTCTGCATAATGGTTTCGGCAAAAGACTGCATATATCATAGAAAATAATGTGATTTTTATGTGGCCTTTTCCCAAATTCTTTTCCAAAGATTATTTTGGCCTCTTGGGCTTTCTAAGCCACATTGCTCAGTACACTGAAGATAGGCTTTAATCCATATTACTACTATTCTAACCCCAACTCTCTCTTTTATTTTATTTAACACATTTTATTGCTACTAGAGATCCATTATATTAACTCTAAGACTTTCCTCAAAATGCAGTTGACCCTTGAACAACAAGGACTTAAACTGTGCAGAACCACTTATATGTGTTCTCTTTTCAATAAATATATTGGAAAAATTTTAGGAGACAAAACAATTTGAAAAAACTCAAAGACAAATCTTGTGGCTTAGAAATTAAATATATATATAAAGAAAAAGAAAAAGCTAGATATGTCATGAAAGCATAAAATATATGCAGATACTAGTCTATTTTATCATCTATGACCATAAAATATACACAGATCTATTATAAAAAGTTAAAATTAATCAAAACTTTTGCACACAAACACTTACAGACCATACTTGGCACCCTTCACAGTTAAGAGAAATGTCAACAAACATGAAGATGTAGCATTAATTCATAGCAGTGTAAAATTATCTATACTGCATATTGTACTACTTTAATAATTTTGTAGCTACCTCCTGTTGCTGTTGCAGTTGGCTAAAGTGTTGCAAGTATTCTCTTAAAAAGCCTTGTGATACTAATCATCTCTGTGTGAACAGTTCCTCTCTCCAGTATATTGCGTATCCCAGTAAAAAGTGATCTCTTGAGGTTCTTGCATATTTTACATTGTGTTTAGTGCAATACAATAAACGTCAAATAACACCATGGGACCCATAAGAAGTGTCACAAGTGATTCTGGAAGTGCTCCGAAGAAGTAGAAAAGAAGTCATGACATTAAAAGAAAAAAATGGAGCTATTGAACTGAAGATGGCAGACTAGAAGCAGCCAGCACATACCACTCTAATGGAGAGGATCAAAAGTGCTGAGTAGATATTCACCTTCATATGGATTATCTAAAAGAGAGCATTGGGAATCAACAGAGAGGTGAGGAGAGGCACTGAAAGCAAAGGAAAAGGAAGTAGAGCAACCTGCTTAGCCAAATCAAAAGTACCTGGGGTAAGTGCCTGTATGTGTGGAGTGGAGCAGAAGAGAGAGGGCTGGGGCTTCACATTCCCTTGTGGACATTACAATCCAAGCTGTGGGAGGGCCCCTCTACCCTGCGGGTTCCCAAACTAGAGCAGGGAGCTGCCTAAAGACTGCACAGTGGAATTACACAGGAGAAAGGGCACAGCAGGGTCCTGCTAGCTTCCAACCCCTGGTGCTGCAGCTGACTCTATTCTGGGAGCCCAGTCCCAGAAAGTGCATTGGCCTAGACAAGTAATTTATGACTAAGATCCCCAAAGTAAATATAACAACAACAAAAATAAATAAATGGAACTTAAACTAGCAAGTTTCTGCACAGAAAAAGAAATAATCAACAGAGTAAATAGACAACATGCAGAAAGGGAGAAAATATTTGCAAACTATACAACCAACAAAGGACTAATATCCAGAATCTACAAAGAACTCAAACAAATCAGCAAGAAAAAAAATGAATAGCCTCATCAAAAAATGGGCAAAAGACATGAACAGATACTTTTCAAAAGAAAATATAAAAATGGCCAAAAAAAATGACAAAATGCTCAACATCATTAATCACCAGGGAAATGCAAATTTAAAACACAGTGAAATAGCATCTTACCCCTGTTAAAATGGCCATTACTAAAAAAAGTAAAAAAACAAGAGGGATTGGTGTGGTGAAAGCCGTGGTGAAAAGGGAAAGTTTATTCACTATTGGTGAGACTGTAAACTAGAACAACCTCTATGGAATGTGATCCAGCAATCACACTACTGGGTATCTATCCAAGGGAAAAGAAATCATTATATCAAAAAGACACCCAAATGTTTATTGCTGAACAGTTCACAATTGCAAAGATCTAGAATCATCCTAAGTGTCCATCAA